AATAAAGCTTCAGGAAAATGTGGTATCTTAACAACTGAAGAAAGATTCAACTGTCAAGAGAAGGAATTACTATTCTCAACACTCCAGCAGAGGCTACCACTCTAATCCTAGTATCTGAATTTCAAAACAAAAAAAAGCCAACACATATCTGAAAAATCATTTTTTAAAACTTGTAACAGGTGCATGGAAGGATCATTAAACGTTATCCAATTTAATCTTCTTTTTCCTGTCTCACGTAGCATCTTACTTGCTGATGCCCGGGGGAAGCTCGTTCACCACGACCCTCCTGCTCCACGCCATGAGATCTCTCTCCGTTGCCATCTGGCTCCGGGGAGCATTGTGGTGCATTTGCCGGACCCCTTCAATCTGACCGCTTCTCCGGAGACCAACGTTTGGTGGAGACGTAACATCCAAACCTGGACTTCGAAGAGCTACAGAAGAAAAAGATTTTTCTTCACTTCTGTAAAGCATCAATAAAATCTAGAATTTAAAGCTTAAGGACTGCACAGAAATTCTGGTTTTGGCAATAAACACCACGAAAGGCTGATAATACCAAAATCACTGCCATCATTGCCTCAATTTATCTCATCATTTGGGGATGCATCAACATCATTTCCACATGCTTAAATACGTCTAACTGCATGAAAAAAATTGCTTTAATGGTTGTGCAAACCTGTATAAAGATATTTGTCTATTTAAATCTCAGCTATTTTATACATACTCTAATTAACTCACACAAGTGGGCAGCTCAGGTAGCAGAGTCCCTGATCAACACAAGTTCAGTAACTATAATTTCTATACCACTCCTATCTGGAAATTCCCTTTCACACAACTGAAGCTGGCTTCTAGGCCACCTTCTTGACAATACCAATTTAGATCAAAGCAAAAGTGTATTTTCAGCATTTTTCACTAATATTTTTCCTATCCCTTCTTGAATTTAAAGACAAGCAACCCCAAATCTAGCCATCCTAACGAGCTTTCCCAGGAAATCTAATTCAAACATGTGTGATCAGTCAGTTAACCTAGAACTCATTTATTAGCGGATGTTAATTTTTTCAAAGCTCAGGATGTCTTGCAGCAGAAGTCCACAGCATCTGCTCTGTTACACCAACTGCACTCAGCTGCCTCCCAGTCAGCTGCTCACATCTGATTGAGTTTGGTTTAAATTTTTAATTACTTTGTGTATTAAAAATACAGTAGCAGAACACTTACCAGGAGAATAATCTCAAGCTTTCTAAGGAAACACTGAGACAGAGCAGATATGTTTATTTTATAAACACTGATGCTTGGCCTTAGCATTTCTCCTGGAACAGGAAGCCATTACCACAATATGGTATTGCACTGATATTCTCTAATTACACGCTGTTATTTTGACGCTCTGCAGTTACCAATTATCATCTCTGCAGTGACTGGCATCACGACAATACAGTGAACTTTACGCTTATTTTTTAGGAAAGGCTTATAACAGGAATAATTACAGCCTAATCATTCCAGGTAACCAGATACAGCCCAGTTAGACCATCGTGTGCCCTCAGCTACACCTTAAACTTCTAATTCCTCTGCTAGCGTCAGTAGAATGCCCAACTGCTCCACACAGGTTAACAATGTGTATAAGAACAAGAGAGAAAAGCATCCTGAAAAACATAGGCTCAGAACTGACGTTAACACATATTGATTTGTACCTTACCATGCTTAGGAAAAGAAATGACGGAGGTAAGGAAGGGACGCTTACCTCCATTAACAGAGTGGGACCTGTTGAGTGGAGGGATTGGAAGAGTTTCTCCTTCATTAATTAGTCTCAGATCTTGTTCCCTCTGTAGCTCTCTGATCATTCCATCAAGGATACTCTCATCCTGGTCATTAGTTTGCTGCCCGATGACTTGTTCAACCACTTCCCCATCACCTTGACAAGAACAAAGCCACAACTGCTTATAAAATGATTAACTTCTATTTTACTAAACACCATAGAAACAATCGAATTTAGAATTATTTGTCTGCTCTGCAAAACATCTGATCACCAGCTGGCCTTCTGTTCTTATGTAATAAATGGAGGGAAAGTTTAAAAGGGAAGTTACAATAAACACCTAAAATTACAGACCAAATGTAAACACAAACCCCTAGAAACAGCAGAAAGAAGTTATGCATCAGTAGGTAATAATGGAAGATCTCTTCTGGAGATCAGCATTTTGCAAAAGTTTACATCTACAAGAAAAAAACCAATCTCTTTTAAAACACAAAAACTATTTTTTCAATGTCTTTCTTACCCTCCTGCTTCCTTACTCACATACACAGCTACACCGAGATTAATGGGACAGTTCTTTGAGCATCCTGCCATGTATCTGGCAGAAGTCCACAGATTTTGGAATACTGCAGTCTCCTCATCTCGCCTCCAGTCAAGTGGATTCCATACACTTTGTTTATGCCATAAAGCCATCCTATCTCCTCTTTTACCTCTATACTGAACTTAAACCACTAGTTTCAGAAGACAACTGAAACAAACAAATCCTTACAGTGCCATCCTACAGAGCCGGTGCTCAGTACTGTGCAATACATGTATTATGCATGAGGTTTAGACAGCATACCATTAGCTACATATCCCAGCTGAGGAATAAGTTGTTCATCCTTGCAATTTTCCCTCCCTGGTACCAGCCGCTGGAATCTCGTGGGATGAGGATTTCCATCAACATCCACCAAGAATGGAGGAGGCATAAGATGTGGAGCCTGTTGAGTCTGTTCATCCAACACATAGTTATTTGCATCACGGATCAGTGGTCGGTAATCCGTATGGAAGAACATCTGATCTGGAATCTGCAAGAAAAGCAATTTAGTAAGTAAATCAATGGCCATTTCCAGCTGTCTGGCTGCCTTGGAATGGCTCCCATACCCATAAACCACAGCTCCTACACTTAGGATCAGCAAAAGAAATGTTATGACAGAGAACAGATTCCTACCACAAATGTGTTTTATTACCGAGGCCTGATGCAAAAATTCAATAGTAAAATATGCCAGCAGAGGTGAAGAGATAGAAGTTAACGCTTTGTTCCCCTGTCTAGAGATTCTCTTGTCTAAATCTTTTTGATTTAGGTAAACAGCAACCACTTCATGATCTAATTACTTTTTTGTCTGAGGCAGGGCAAGGGAATAAGCTGTAACACAAATACTTCTAAGACAAAATCAGGTCAAGACACAGAAGAGTTTAAAATTCATTCAACCCACCTTTTCATAATATTTATTGCATCCAAAACCAAATAGTAGCAGATGTCCATGAGAGTCTGTGCAGGCGAAATGCTGTCCATCTGGTGAGAACTTGCAATCAAAAACAGCTCCATGGCCTTGGCCCTCGATCTGGATACAAGCACAGAGCATTCCTTTCACAACCATGCATTCTCTGTAAGTGCATTTTTACAAAAATTTCACCTGTGCTCCATCAAGTTTTTAATCCTAATTCTGGGTAAATTCTCAACTCGCTCAAGACTGACTTACACTTATATTTTTTGCACTTATTAAAGCTTCACTGAACAATAAAGTCAAAACCTTGCATTTTCTCTTTGTCCTTAAATTTCAATGCAACTTTTAATGTTTATTCTGAAGAAACTGCCTAGAAGTCTATATTTCATGTTAATGGCAGACAGGACAAGCCTGCGCCAAAGATCTCAGACACATCTTGGCTCCGTACGAGCAGGTTTCCCAGCCCCAAGTGCCAGGAGGCTAGCGCAGGTCCTGAAGCAGTGCAGCTGCATTTGCTCCACGCTGGAACCAAACCAACAAACCTGGCACTGGGCACATGAAGATAGACACAGCACAGAGCCAACCAAACCATTTCCCAGACCACAGCATCATGCTACAACACACAGGCTTACTGGTTTTCATAGCTCTGCCTTGGGAGCCACTGTGATCTTTTGCATGGTATAACCCTAACCACACACATGAATAATATTCAGATGTAACAGTTCCCATGAAAAACTTAAAATATGCAAAATCACACTTTGGTATTGCTTACTGAAGAGTACAGGGTTGTTTTGGTTTTTAATATGTAGAAGTTTTCCCCTAATCCTGTCGTAACGTTGGTCACAACAGGCATATGATGAAATCTGCTTTTGCCACATGACCAGTTTTACACAAATGTGGAAAAAAAAACCAAACCCTGATCATTCTTACCATATTGAAGTAATTGCGAATTTTTGTTCCTTTGTCTATATCCCAAACAAAAATATTTCCATCATGACCCGCTGAAAGTACAATCCTTTGGTCAAACGGATGGGCCTCCAGAACAAAAACTTCATCATCGTGACCCTGCAATGAAAGCAGGGTGAAAAAGAAAGTCGTGTTTCTCCATGTAATATCCCCAAGCACGCTAGTGTTTAGTGTGAGGACATCTCAGTTCAGGTAGCCATCCAGGACAAGCTCAATTTACTGGATCTTAGACTAGAAATGTGTCTGTACTTCATCAACACTTCAGTGCAACTTTTAATGTATGTTCTGAAACGACAGGAGGCTTGGCATCATCCTGCCCACTCTGTAAGTGCCCCGGGCTGCAGCTCAGCACGGCTGAGACAGAGGGACAGGGAGGAAGGAGAAACCAGCAGCGAGGACAGGTACAATGCTCTAATTTGGGCACAAGAGGTGGCTTCCAAAGGACTCCCTTGTCAGCCAGCAATCACCAGGGTCTAAGAGCATTTTGCTCATCAGCTCCTTTCCCAGTACTCCTCCCAGTAAGCATAAGACAGGGGCACAGCTCAAGACAAAACACGGCTCGTCAGGGGGAATGATGACGCTGTTTAGCCTCAAATTGACTTCAGAGTTGAACTATAACCATTTGGGATCACCCGCTTGAATTTTACTCACAGATAAGCTGTGAAGAAGCTGCCCTGTGGACGAGTTCCACACTTTGAGAAGGAAGTTGTTGACTGCAGTGATGACAGTGGCGTCGTATCGATCCCAGGCCACCATGGTAACCTTCAGTTTAGTCACCTTGTCCTCCCCAGACGCTACACTGTTTCTAAGGAAACCAATAATTTAAAGAAGAAATTTAAAGAAGAAATACATCAGTAACTAGACACAGAAACACTTAACAGAATTAATTCAGTATGAAATCAGGGAGAGTGTTGCTGCCACCCCTGTGACTACTGGCTAACGCAGGAGAATGAACGATGCCTTCTGCAGCGGTAAAAAAAAAATGAAACAAAAAATATTCAGTACCAGTAAGATTTACAGAGTTCTACTTCCTTTAAAAGGCCAAGTTTCTCTTCTGTTTTTCTTGAGCGATCATCCTCGCCTATCCCAATTCTTTCTTTCAAGCTATTCAGTTCTTTTCAGTTTTCTCCTATAAGGCATTTTTCTCTACTCTACTCTACTACTACTTTTTCTCAACTCTACAATGAGCAAGACCCTGCTAAATAAATCCAAATCATACTTTGACAGCTAACTCATTAAAAATGTAACCACATGAAATACAAAGAATTCTGCAACGCAAAATACCTAATGGATTTCTCAATTTCTGCTCTTTGTTATTGTGCACACTCAATGACAAGGCCACTTACAGAAGTCACTGGAGGATCTCAAAAAGAAAAACTCAAAACCTTAATTGAACCTGAGAACCAAATCACCATATCTCACCTCTTACTTGAAAACTTAAGGAAAAATCCAACATTAAGAAACACGCTGGATTTATATATTAGCACATCAGTATATGATCAATTAGGTTTTTTTCCTGAGATGAACTCTATTAGACATTCTTACTTCATACGTAAAATACTAAATATTCCCCAACCACTAGAGTTGGGAACTACCAACGTATTAATATTTCCTTTTGGGGGCTAACTAACCATGTAACTTAGCAGATAGAGCCGTGGTATTTTCAATACACAAAAAACATGCACTGAAATTAACTCAAAATGGAGGCAAATAAATAGTTTTCAATATGATGGAAGATTTTGTCTTGCATGCAAATGTAGCTATGAAGTGTGCTCTGGTTCGGTTTGTTTTACCCTGTCATTTTCGTAGCCATGTCCAGGACCAGACTCTTCCAATCTTGCTGATGGTAGTGCCAAATTCTTGCTGTTCCATCTCTGCTTCCACTGACAAATCTTAAGCTATGGGAAAAAAAGAAGAAAAAAAGAGAAGTCATTAAATTCTGAATTTAGCCATTGCTGCTTTTGGTCTAATACCCACAAGCCCACGGTAGGATGTTATTTTCTTACTATTCAGTAGCTTTGCTACGGAGTTTTCCATCCTCAGCAACAGTGTGGGCACGCTAAATGCTGTGGCAAGAATATTTCGGAGCTTGGCAGAGGACTGTCAGTCACCTTAGAAAAGGTCACTCCAAGCACTTATTTTTAATGTTACTCTTGAACAAACATGCACAGAGACATACAGAACTATATATATATACTTGGAAGCGTGTACTTGTGTTATGTACTTGTCTTACTCCATATATGCCCACACATAGGTGTGTTTAACAACTCATAAAATATCCCTGAACTGCTGCCACAGGAAACAGGCAGCTACAAAGTGCTGCCAAGCCAAGAGCACACCCATTCACACCAGCACAGAAGCTAGAATGGATTTCATCTTTTCTCAACACTTATTCTTTATATTGTTTGTGCAGCTCAGATCTAGAGAATGTAATTAAAAAGACAGCGAGGTTACAATTTTCATATCAGATATTGTAGGGTACAAAAGAGTTGCTATCCCACAACATTAATTACATTTGGTTACAGCTAGCAGATGGCCTTGGAATGACTTCAATGTCGTAATTCATACAAGCTGCACATTCCCTTTTTAATGACATCAGCAAATCCCTTGAGCAGTTCATAGTGGCAGCAAAGAAAAAGAAACTGCATGCCAGGAGTCTAGCATAAATTATAATACATTAACTTGGGGAGAGGGTGAAGACAGAGAAGGAAAATACCCAAGCTGAACGCAAGTAGGTAGCCCTGCCTGTGAAGCTGAACACAAGTATTTTCATTTTTGTACTCCTCCTTGTTTAAAAAACAAGCATCCAGCAGATGCATTTATCTACATCATAGTGCTTTGGCTGTCGTTGTCACAGAAATCATTTTTGTTGAGAACTTTTAAAAAAGCTCCTCAAGTAAGACATTTTCCCAGGATGGCCAACACCTTTACAAGTATTTTCCATTTATATACAGAATGACATGTAAAAAGGCAAGCCCATGCAGTCTTATCTTAACAAGTGGTTTTCACCTTTTCCATTTCCCTGACCTGAACATCATGATGAAAAAGTGTTCAAAAGTGCTTGTGACGTTTATTTTTACTTCTTTATATTAAAACAAAAAGGAATTTATCCCTTTTCCACTAAAAGCGTCGCTGTAGATGTAAGCATAGTTTTCAGTGACTATTGTGACTGAATATCCCCAGCGAGACCGGTGCTGTCACGTCGCTTGGAAGGAACTGTTAGCACAATTACACCAATACATTCCCACGTAATTTTACATGACATAGATCTCCGAGTACAGGTGCAGTTCCCCTGGCAAAGCTACAGTTTTGCTTGGAAGGCTCCTGCCTGCACACATCCTGCCAAGCTAAATAAGAAATCTGAGCAAAAGCTGGCATCAAACCATCTCCATTAAGATGTTGGTCACTAATCAAAGCTCGTCATGCCACTCTCCAACACAGCTCTGCTGCAGAGTTTGACACGCAGACGTGCCTATAGGCACCTTTATACATTTTATCATGAGCATCTGATATTAATTCTTACCTAAGAGACCGCAGCCTGACTTAGCATAGCTCTAAAAACTGAGAGCTCTGCAGGCTGGAATGGTTTGCTTCCTGAATTTTAAGACTACAGGATTACCTGTGAAGTAAGAAACCCTCACACAGAACAGATACAAAATTTGTTTCCCAATTTGCTCAGTTTAAAAAAATACGAAGTAAAAGCACAGTTTTTGTTGGTAGAGCAGAGGACAGCAAATCCAAGCTCATGGGTATGACACACATCTTGCAGTATATTTTAAATAATTTGTTTAAGATCAATCAGAGCCCTTGTGCAGTCTTCCTGTTGCACCAAATTTTCTCTGCAAAGTTATCTGGAAAGTTAAATACCATATTTCTCATGTCAAAATCCCAGGACAGCCACTCACCTGTCGCCGTTGTTACAGAACTGGACTGCAACCACTTTGTCCTAAATAGGAAACAGGAAAAAAATGTAGTGATAAGTGTTTCATAAGCTGAAACACTCATCCAGAAAGATCTCAATGATGAGCTGCTATTTAGCAAATTGGACATTCCCACACCTCTCCTACAACATACTATCTTACAAACTCAAGAACAGCAAAGTCACACTTGAAGTTAAGGCTTCCCCAGACGTGTTGTGTTAAACACTGAAACAGAAAACTGCAGAGAGGTGAAGGTTTCCTGTTGCTCCAGAAGTAGCTCAATTTCCAGCTCAGTCTCCCTGACACTGGGATGTTCAGGAGGCAGAAGCTGCAGCAGTTCTTGCCCGAGCACCGTCACAACGCCACGGGACCGTGCACACCCGGGGTAAGCTCTGCCTGGGAAACTCCGCAGCTTTTACACTCCAGAGTTAACAGGTACAAGGTATCCTGGGGCAGCCAGGGCCTGGCAGGTACAGCTCTCCACCAGATGGAGAAAGAACACCACCAATGCTCACCGCAGGCTTGCCATTTTTACACCTAACACTAAAGTACATCAAAATATTTGATTTAAAGAAACGCAAACCTTGGCTTTATTTCCACTTTGAAATTGTTGAGAAACAAATACTAAGTTGTAGACACAGCTTCTCCCTTATTTTATTTTGCTAAATACTTGTGTTGGCTCCAGGCACTTGCTATCTCTACTCCCACTGACGTCTCTCGCTCCTGATAACCAAGTGTCCAACTCAGGATTTTTTTCAGGGGTGGGCTGACAGCAGTCTGTTGTATTTAGAAGAGTAGGACTTCAAAAAATTACAGGAATTACAGTTTCTTCCAAACCTGAACTGCTGAATAGAGAAAACATTATTTTTCTTTTGTAAGCGAAATACTTGTTAGATTTGTTGTCTGGGAGCTCTGAGACTTAAATGTGAGACTCATGACTGCCACTGAAGTCCAGTGAATCAATTTAGACCTCGGCCTTAACCCATAAAATCTTGTTAAGGTGGGCAGCTGGGCTATTAAGGTTTGAAGACGAATGCTCCAAACGCCTCACCAGTGACAGCCCTGTCAGTGTGGCTACAGGCTTGCCCTTCTGATATATTCTTTACTGTGCAGGTAATAAATAATGCAATCATCACCTGCTCTCGGTAACGACTAAGAAATGAAGAAAAATTCAATATTGTTTTAGTGATGCTTCTTCTTTATAGGGTTTCATTAGAACTGAGATATTCCATGGTTTTAATAAAAGCTATCAAGGCTCAAACTTGAAAACTAACATTGAAAGTCATTGTACGGATACTGAAAACAGTTTGTGTTTCCATGAGAACTCTTCTGCATTACCTGAGAAAAAGCAAACTTAAAAGCATCCTATTTTCTAAATGAAATAAGCACCATGATCCAAAGTTTAACTGCACACCCTAAAACCAGAATTATTTTGTTTTTTCTTGTTATGTGGATTTGTGTTCACAACTAAAGGTAAATACTCAACAGTAAATTTAATAGAAAAAATGACATCATGCATGAAAACTGCTTTAATTCCTCATTCCAACACAGACTTTCTTCAAGAATATGGGAAATCACCTAGTGCCTCAGCTTCCTGGGGGAACGAAACACATGAAGCGTATTTTGCACACATCTCCTGCCTCGGAGGAATTTTAAAATAAACATACCACAAATTTCCAGGCATTTAAATACCACACTGCTGGGAGCCAGCTAAACTCTAGAGACAGAAGCTAAGTTGAATAGGATGTACAAAAGCTAGAGTTCCTGAAATAAGGTACAGCAGAGAAAAAAAAAAAAAATATTTGCTTTCTGATTCGTCTCTTACCGTATGAGATTCTAACTCAGCCATTTTCTCTGGAGACTCCGAGCCCAAATAATAAATTCTGATCACGTGGTCAGTACTACCTGTTGCAATGAACATGCCACCTAAGGAAGACAGTGATTTCTGTGAGAAGAAATAGCCATCCGAGGAACAACTGATTTTAATTACAGCTTTAGAGTCAAAGCAGCAAACTACAGTTTTAAAAAGAAAATTCCAGTTTAATCAAAATGTACGTCTTGAACAAAGAAGTTAACTCTGACAACTTCTGCTTTGATCTGTCCTTTCTCAGACCGTATCAGCTTTAGCATAACCACGAGCTCTACAATATTTTCCAGCTGCAAACCCTTCTGACCAAAGGAAGAGAATATTGCAAGTTACAACATTCGGCCAACCAACTGTTCTGCTTTCCCTCAGAAATTACCACAGCGCTCTCCGTCAGCCTACGTGGAAAATTAGAAAGGGAATAGTTTCATACTCTCACTGGTACATGTCAAACAAAATATTTAAGTGCATCTTCAACATCCATTTGAAACTTAGCAGAGAAATTACTGCTGAATCGGGAGTCAGCGATTAAGCTATTTTCTTGTAATGTTGGTTTGTTCTATTTACAATATTGCACAAAAAGGGCACTGCTGTGTAGTTTACGGCACTGAAATGGCTTCAGTAATCTCAGGATTTCTGGTTTTAAAAAAGGAATGTGGGCAAAATGCACATGGCTCTAGAACGGCTCTCAATTTCAGATAAATTAAAATTTCTCATTAATTTTTGTTTTCTTGTAAAAATCACTATTTTTGAGAATTCAAAGCTGCAACAAAAGATGTCAGTCATGCTGGTCTTTTCAAACATTTACTTGACCCTCCCAGAACTCAGCCACATTTGGAAGATTAGCAAAAGCGTTATCTCTGAACACAGACCACTTGTCTGCCAGATTTCAAGAACTTTTCACTCAAAAACTTTACAAGATAAAAACCTAAAAAGGATGTTGCAAAGAAAAAGCCCTAAGGTGCAAAACAACAGCATAGTCTTCCTTGGAAGTGGTCAAGACATTTTAGCTTAAATTATAGCAAAAAAAAAAAAAAAAGAGAGAAAAAGTAGCTTGAGGAAGATGCTTAGCATGGAAAACTTCAAACAAACAATCACAACTCGGCAATGCTGTAATTAACTGAAAAAGGGTTTAACACCATTTGTATTTAAAAAGAAGTAACAGTCTCGTCACCAAAGGAATTATAGTTCAGAAAATACTTCCAGCTACCTGACAATGCATACGTACCGGAACTGAAAGATGAACAAGATATCTGAACACCAGGCCTGGACCTCTCTGCAAATTTTACGGGGCGATCCCTATATGCAACAACACAACATTTTTACTTTTCACTACTTTATTCCAGTGCCATTCAACAAGAACGCAGCTTAGCAGGGCAAGGTCAATATAATAATCCTAAATCTCTTTATTTCAGAATTCTCACCTAAGTTTGCTAGAATTTATTTTTCATTTTAGTAATTTTCTTCTTTAGTTTAGTAAGAAACCATCATTTTCTAAATCAAAAAGACTATTTAACTTATTTATCATGATACTCACCAATTCAAATCTATTTAAAACAGAACCTGGCAAACCATTAGTTGAATAGCATTTACTCCCTATTAAATGTGGGTTTGATGCCATCTACATATGTCTGTTCCTTTGATTAAAAGCAAAGAAATTATTCTGCCTGTACAGTCTGGACAAGGATTTAGTCATAAACATAAAAAATGAAAGTTGTTCCACAACACTGGCTTGCAAAACACAAAATCCAGAAATAATAGCCCTGATTTCCACTTCCCCCCAGGTTGCAATGCCACGGGCTCTCAGCACAGATAAAGCACGCCCTGCCCCACGCACTGGTACGGCACCCATGCACAGCCTGTCCATGGCAGAACACATCCCAGAAAACCTGTTCCTTGAGAAAGAACACGCCCTTATTTAATTATCTCAGCATTCCTCTCCACGCTAAAACTCAAAACAAATCCCTCCTTTATTTAAGAGAATTATAATTATCTAAACAGACTTACTTAAATTTCATGGTGTTAGCATGCCACTGCCAGAAACAGATTGTTCCGTCAGCACCAGTAGAAGTGAGGTATCGTGTTGTTCCTTTCCTTGCTGGAGAGAACTAAAAATAAAGTCGTAACAGTTAAACCAGCTAATTTTTCCCTCCCCTTACATGCTGGAAGCTTGTAAACGGACGTTGACAAGAATCTTTTTCAAGAACATCCATTGTGATGTCTCTCACTTTAATTTCATAACTGCAGCAATAGCTTTCATCCTCTGGCTCAAGCCTGGTACTTTGATAAAGGAACCAAGCCCTGTTTCCTCAGAAAGCCAGGACTGATCATTTTCTGACTTTCCAGAGTTTTACAAAAAGCTTGTGAGGAATGTACAGACGTGTAAACAAATAGCATACAAAACACAAAACCAGGTTGTAAAATATGTCTCCAAAACGATCACCTTAAAGTAACTTGCAACAGAACTGAAATCAGACAAAACGGGAAGCGCAGGCGAGAGGGGGAGAGATGAGGGTCCCAGGGAGTGCTGGCATGCTGGAGAAGAGTGCGATGAATCAAGGGCAGCAAGGCTCCACAAGAGAAGGATTTTGAGCCAAACATCCCCACTCGTTCTCCCCTCTATGTGCACAACCTGACAAATTGCAGGGATTGACTTTTTTATCCTGGAATTTTGTTTTGTTGGAGGTTTCTGCTTGGCAGTTGTGGCTTTTTTATAGCAAATAAACTGCAAATTCCTAGCCGTTACTGACTGTGCCACCGTTACAGAAATGAGTGCCGGCAGTTTAGTCTTTTTTCCTGCTCTGCTATTGCTCCCTGGGCACTTGCCACACAACGGAAACTGCACGGGCACAAGCACAGATCCTCTGCAAACCCTGATCTGTGCCATACTGTGGCTGCTGCAGCACCCACGTACACCACAGCATCCAGAACAGCTCCTTAGGTACGGGCTGAGAGAGTGAGGAAATAAGAAACATGGAGTAAGGACTTCCAGCTGGCAGTATTCTTCTGAAAAATAAATGTTCCCTATGAACACAACTGTGGGGTCAGTTGCTGTGCAAGAACTCCCACCAAGGATGTTATTCCTTACCTGGATGGAAGTAATGGAAGCTGAGTGGCCCTGCAGCACTGCGACTGGGGCACAGGTTCGAAGACACCAGACTCGGACGACTTTATCGCAACTGCCTGCAGCGAGCAGCGTGTTCTCGTAGTTAACAGCCATGTCAGAAATTTCAGCCGAGTGTCCTCGTAACGTTGAGAGCAGGCGCCCATCATCTGTAGCCCAGATTTTGACCAAACAATCATCTGATCCCTAGTGCCACACAAAAATTTCCAGAGATTATGTAAAACAATACAAATGTGTTATGTGGACACATAAATATATGTACATATAAAAGTATATACACAAATATAAAATATATAAAATAAAAATACGAATAGACAAGGACACTGTAGGTGAACAAGGATCTGAAACACCATTGTGTCATGGACCCGCCAGAAGAACAGCTTCAGTGGGGTTCCCCAGAGGCACAACTATCTGATGAGTTCGGGAATCATCCTGTGGGCTCAGGGATTTAGATATTTATAAAACAGAAGTCACTGTCTTATGTTTCATACTAAGATACGATTACTGCTGCTACCACACCGCCTCTCAGGACAGTCCAGTTTCAGAAGATAATTTGAATTTCAGAAGATAACGTGTTGCCCTACATGCTAAGATGTATTTATCTGCGTGAGCCACATCAAATCTGCAGTAAAATCAGAGTGATCCTAAGCCTTAAGCTCTAAGGAGAGGGAGCACTGAAGCACCTGAGGCCCTGGGAGCCTCTGCCAGGCTGCTGGAGCTGGAAGGCAGCCGTCCCATGAGGTTCAATTTCTGTCAAGAGGAGAAAGTTGGACCACTCGAAGAGAGAAACCACGCAACATCGTGTGCAACTGAAATACTGTGTCAGGGAGACTCCAGCTCAGGACAGGACACAACCCAAAAGCATATCCAGCACAGACCACTGGAAAATACCTGTAGTACAGCTACACCATTTCATACTCAATCCCAACATCACCAAGAAATTTTAGAGAGTTCACAGACCTTTCCACTACTCAGACACCACAGAGAATACTAACACTAGCAGCTAGGATTGCCGCTACCTATTCAGAAACATAACGCAATAAAACTAACTGCAATGTCAACATCATTTGACCTTAAATTACATTTTTTTAACTGCAGGTAAATTTGAACACAAATCACTTTCAATTCTCTACATAACTGCCCACGAGAAAGATTTCTTTATTGTGTAAACAAAAATGAAAAAGCCCTCACTGTGACCCAGAGTAATTATCATCATTACATCTCTATCTGACCAATTCATCCAGGGTGGAGAAGCTAGCAAGAACACAAAGATAATAACTAGCCTGCCAGGTAATCTGTTTCTAAACACCTCTTGATAAGAGACAAGGGCAAAGACAAGACAGGGATTAATATTAACAGTTAAAAAATGCATTATTAATCTGAAACGTCTCCTAGTTTTTAAATACGCAGAACAAAAAGCAGGGGCAGTATCAACAAAATGTAGGTTAATATATTCTGGAGAAACACTTAAAATAATACTCATATATTCACTGACATCCTACAAATTCTAGGATGGAAATTTAGTAAAGAAGTAAATTGCAGATGAAGTAATGAGGTCTTCTATTTATCCTCAGGTTTGACTGAACTGTAAGGAAAGGACTGCCAGCATTTCCAAGGTTACCAAAAGGTAAAATGTAGGTTTAAAAAAAAGTGTTAAGATTTAACCCAGCAAGCAGCATGCAAACTAATTTCAACTCCCGGAATACTGCAGGTGCCATTCAGTAAGAAAGATGATAAATAAAGAAAAATGAGCACGTGTTTCAAGTGAGCGTTGCAAGCCCTGGACCGGAACCCCCCTGCCGTAAGGTTTGACATGGGGAAGCAGAGAGCTGACCAAGTTTCAGTCTACCGGAGCCATGAGCAATTTTAAAATACTAAGTCAAGTGAAAAGTGAAAATTAGCATAGAAAGAGATGGGTTTTCCATACATTTCAAGACTTTTCTTCCCTTCTTTCTCTGGAAGCCGTGTCTGCATCTCAATCAGCAACTAAGAGGCTGTTGAGGGACTCAAGAAAGAAAGAAATCAAAGCAAGCCAAGCAATCTTCCAAGAAAAGTACAATTTTTAAACTTACTGTAAAAATTCTCCTCCCACTGCGATCAAAGGCTATACAATAAACAGACGATAGATGTCCCAAAATCCTCTTATGCATTTTCATGTGTTGGTAGGTGGATGTTGGGAACAAGTGGCTGAAACGTCCACATCCAGTTAATTGCCTGGCAGAAAGTATATTTACTGGGAGAGAAAAACAAAACAGAAGGAGGACTAAGGCATTGATTTTGTCCAGAACTCAAAGTAAATAAATCAAATATAATGTTTGGTAACGATTTTATTGTTATAATCCACAAGTCTGAACCTCTTCCACTTGGTCGGAACATTCTGTACACTCCTTTCAGTGCCCACCCCACCACACATTGCACCTGGCTGCTTAACAAAAAGTAAAGCAAAAGCAAGAGTTCCCATCATAGCCAGAGGTTATTCCACGTGTTCAACTCATGAACAGGCAACACATACATTTATGCCATATGGACTGGAAAACCTGAGTTCAGCAACATATAATTTCCTTATAACAATTACAAGAAATTTATTTTTGGAGTATAACAATTTATTTCAAGTGGGGTTTTTTAATCCTTCCCTGGAATGGGTTCCAGATTATGTGTGAGGGTCGGTGGTCTTCCACGTTCCCCACAAAACCTCTCTCGTTATAAGTAGTAGCAGCAATATCATTTCACTTCTATGACAAAGTAATTGAAGAAGAAATATGTGGCACTGATTGAAAAAAACACTCAAACAAAAGAACGGCAGGCACAAGAAAAAACTGCAATAATGACAAATTATTTCATTTGGCTATACCTAGGAGTCTTTGCAAGAACAGCCTGAAATCTGGACACACAAAAAACATAATGTAAAGAAAGCACCGTTAGCAGTTGCACTGATGATAACTATGACTCTTTCCACCAGCCAAAGAAAGGAGAAAGCAGGGACACACCACCAAATGAAGATCATTCTGGGTGTAGAATACAGAAAGATCCTAATTCTGATTTTGGATTTGATGCATAATTTGAGATCATTTGGGGTGTTTCAATTTAAATTCTAATTTATACCACTTGAACTTTTAATTTTAAATTTTAATTTTAAAGTTTTCAGAGGGTTTTTTTTCAATGCCATGTAAAGATCTCACATTGCTATGGTGGTGGGTTTTGTTGAGCCCGTGCAATAGCTGGCTCCCCGAAGAAACCCCTGATCTCGGCTACCGCACGTTGAAGTAGGCAGGGCTTCACAGGAGCAGCACAAAGCTCTTCAGTGCCTTTCAATCCTTTGGCTTAAAAGTATAGTGAACATCTTGACCCATTTTCTTAATTGTATCATCATATCATTGCCTATCTATGTGGAAAAAAAAGATTATGGAATATGCTAAAAAAACCCTACCAAGTCAAGGAGCATCACTTCAAAGGGTTACTAACCCGCAACACACTTCTGCACACTTGTAAGATGGAAGTATTTATACACAAGCAGAGATAAATGGGCAAGGAAAATAAATTGTTTCCAGATTTACTGAAAGTATTTTTGTTTCTCAGTTTTATGCTCTGAAATTGGGACAATTTTTGATCACTCAATGCAATTGAAACACTACATACTAGGAAAAAAAAAGTTGCATTAAAGTTGTAGATGCTTGCAAAAGTCATCAGGCTCCCCATGCGACCTCATCTTCAGTCAGTGTATGTTCTTCATGTAAAAACACATATTCAGCAGTACTAAAAAAAGCAAAACACACTAAACTAAATGAATTTACTATCTACCTACTATTCAGTTGACACCTGATATTATACAGGAACTGTCAAATGCAACTGTCTCCCCTAGCAAAGTAAAAATGAAATCTTTAACCCTTTCCACACCTCTTACGGGAGGGCACAGACAACCTGTAGTGACAAATGTTGCACAAAAGTACCGTCAGGTTTGCCTACACATTCTTTTATTTACTATTTAAGTATGGCAGCTTAAAAACTAAGTGCTTAAAAACTTATGGCTTTGAACATTTTTTTTTTCCATCACCCAAAGAACTGCGTGACTCAAAAAGGCACACTTCCCAATAATCACAATACCTTCTGTGTACTGTAATGCTCCCAGGCAATCCTTCTCGAAATTTACCACTGTTGTTTGTTGTAAATCACACGGAGGAAAGACTAAAAGGTGTAACGAACAGGCAGGCACCTAACTCGCACAGCCTTTAATTTGGCACCTAACTTTTCCGGTCGATTCCCAGACTTGCAATCAGTTCAGCTTCAGAGGATGTGAAAGTAATTTCACTTTTTTCTGTGTCTATTTCCCTATTTGCACAATGGGAACAAGACTCCTCAATTGCCCATGGGTAATTAAAAAATAAAAAGCTCTGCTTATGAAAAGCTTCAATCACGAGTTTCAGAGAAACACAGAACTATTGTTGTGCCACAGAGTACCATCGTTATCAAAGCAACGGCATCTTTGAACAAAAAATAGCAAGTATTCAATGTATCTGATCCTTGCTATAAAAATGCTTAGGATATATCAGAAAAGCTTGCCATGCACACAAAGCTCTGATTAAGATTTTTATCTTCCCACACTTTATAAACTATCACTGCCTTCAAAAGGAACTGCAAAGTAAAAAAAAAAAAACAAACCACAAAACAAAACAAATAACCCCAATTCCAGTTCTCATATTTTTTGGTAGAAGATGAATACACAATATCTAAACAGGGAATTACCCGCTCATGACAAAAAGCCCCGTGAAGCTTGCTTTCTTCAGTACAATGAAGTTATTGTACTCACAAAGCCTAAAAGTATTTTAAAAAATCCCCAATTCCCACACAGAGAATTAGCAACATCATAGCCCTAAAAGCTTCTACCAACCTATCTAATTAGCTGCTGCACTTCACGCCGTACCCGGCATAACAGCTGCCAAGTCTACCCCCCCACTATTTCCTGCCAGGAAAAACGCCCAAAACTGCATTGATGGTATTCCACATAAAAAGTGAGCACATCTAGTCTTGTTCAAAAAAGTTAGTTCTGTCCGCAAAGGGAAAGGTCGCCTTCTCAGATGAAGTTCTTCACTTCTAGCTGCAGAGATGCCACTGATGCCGCCGGGAGAGGTGAGCTTTCTCTCCCATCAATGAAAACAAAATTTAAAAAACCAAACATTTAAAATTTCCAAGTTAAGTCACAGCTTCAGAAGGAATTAAAGCATTTCCGCGTGGACAAAGTCACTTAGTCTTCAAACTGCTTGAAGTCTTCCTCTCCCTATAAACCCTTGCCTCACTCCATTGTTGGCAAGCAAAAACAGAATAATGGTACAAATGTTTGGTTTAAAAGCAGTTTCTCTAGTATTAAGGGTGATGACTTCATACTGTTTTACCCTCTGAAATAAGCACTATAACGTTGTGATGAGGACATAACACTACACGGCCTCAGCGCTGGGGCTGATGGAGTAGGAAGATGGGGTACCACTGGCAGCGTGCAGAAGAAACACGAGTCTGGATTTCATAAGAACACTGGAATTAAACACAGTTGGCTCCCACATGCAAAATATCTTCTCAGAGAGGGGATGTGTGGCCACAAAGACAGGCAAGGTGCAATAAAAGCACCGAAAGAACAAAGCGTTTCAGCTTTCCTATCTGCTGACCTCATGGAGCTCCTTTCCAGCATGAAGCATCATCGATTTCCTGACCTCAGAGCACTGCTGTCTGGCAGCCTCGGGTACCCGGATCACCTTGCCTGTGAATTGCCACACAGCTGAATCACTTGTTCACTGAGACTAGGCTATGAACCTTCTGGTTCCAAATTTTGTGTTATTTTCACTAACAACAGCTACCCACGTAAAGATTTTCATGCTGAGGTTAAAATAGCTCTGGTAACCAACTAAAGAGGGAAAACAATCTTCTTTCTTATCTGCTTTGTGTTGCCTGCAAAAAAAAAAAAAAACAACCTCTGACAAGACCTAAGTAGTATTCAAAACCAGGTTTATCATATGGGAATAACCCCACCGCTGAGGTACTGCACGGCGAGTCTTTCAATTTTCTGTCTGCAGAGCACAAAGGGAGTCCTGAACACACCACTGCTCCCAAACCTGCAAAGAAACAGCCTCGAAGAGCACCCTCACCGCATTCCCCGTGTTATCCTGCCAGCAGTAGAAAGCTCTGACAGCGTTCTCCCCTCCTCCTCCCCCAGCAGATCCCCGCAGACCCCCGAGACTCAACACACACACGAGACGTTCCTGAGAACCACTTCCAGCGGTCACCGCTTCCTCGGAGACTCGCCCAGCCAGAAGATCCCCAGCTCTGCACAAACACGCTGGGAAAAGGTGACACTGATTTCTCGTTCTGCTTCCACTGCGTATGACCTTTCCGTTATTTTGGAGTCCAGATCACAAGGTCCCATCCCATCCAGACGGAAAGGCAAAGCACTGCAGCTACCGACTCTTCCAGCCGAGAGGGCAACCACAGGCAACCCCGTTCTTACATCAGAAAATAAACCACGCTTACGGCATCGAGCTTAAACCCTTATCACTGGAAGGGAAGCGATATAAGATGACCTTTAGCTGCTAGTTCTATCCCTTATTTACCTGTCTACACAGGCAATTGCACAATCATTTCATCTCAGTCATGAGCACACACTATCATGGGTGTCTATGACTTCACCCCAACTACTTCAGCAAGTAATTCCAGAAAACTCCACCTGACTAAGCCAGCACACTATGGGAATCCACAATTGTGCTGCAATATTAACGAGGTTGGGCGTACTTCTTCATCTGGCATTTCGAACCAAGACACACACACCCCGCAGCATCTGTGGCTGTCACTACTCACCAGAGAAAGCACTCATTTTGCACACACAGAAAAATTTAGTGACTTCCACTGCAGGTTTAACAATAGGGACTCTCAAAACCAAAATCCTCCCTCCTGTACAGCTCGAGTATAGTCAACTTTGTATTTCAGTCTTTACACACATTTTCTCTCTTAGCAGTAGTTTATGCACCTACACTGAGGAGGACCGTACTCTTCCAGGAACCAATACTTACAAAAATTAATTCCTGACTATGAAAGACCCTTTTCCATATAACACCTTCACATTTCTTGAACACCAATTCACTGGAAAACACCAAAACCAACAAATCATTCTGTTCACTAAATCCCTGAACAGTCACCAAGCAAGCACCACAGACCATGAAAGCATGACAAGTGCTGAAGCCGGATCTGCTGGTGTGGGTCATTAATAATGTTGTATATTCCAAAAACACATGGTCTGATTCTCCTCTTACGAAAGAATGGATCCAGGAGCCCTTATACAAATACAACTACGGAAGTAAAGTGTGTGCAGTGACTCTATCATCTGGCCTATTAGCGATCCATCAGCCCGACTGCTAACAGTAAGTAACTGCAGAACCAGCCTAAAAGAATAAATACATAGATATGTACAGAAGTAACCCTACTAATAGATGGAAATAAGTTTTCTTTTTTTAATGTCCACAGAATGACTCATAAATTATCTGACAAAAAGCAGGAAAAGTACTAATGCAATAGTTCCCTACGCGCTGGTTCCAGGCAAATATCCATTTATTTTTCATACAGAAAACCCGTAATTAACTTTGCTATTCCGTCACAGTGCTGCCACAACACCACAGACCTTATGCAAAGCGTGCTGCTGATTTCAACCACAAACAGCACAAACAGCTCGGGCTTTGTCACTTTCATGTCTGACCAAGATTAATTTTTAGCAAAGAGAAAGTACAGAAGCACAAACAGAGGAACAGACATGGCAGAAACAGAAAGCTGCCATCATCATCCCTGCATCTCCAGAGGGATGGGAGAAATGTATTCGAATGCATCTCCTAACAAACCAGGAAAAGCTTATACGTTTGTCCAAACACACTGTAAATACAGATAAAATACCCTAGTAAGGAAACAAATCATGACCTACAGGACTTATATTTACGCCTGCAAAATCAAATTTGTTTGCTATAAAAATGGTTAATGAAAGCTCAGACCATACAAGGAAAGCACTGCCCAGTTTCAGCAAAGCAGCTTGATGATATGTAAGCTGAATGCCTGCATGTGTCTGAGTTTTATACGAGATCTTTATCTAACCGTGTGGACAACCGAAACGGAAGTAACACAAATGTTGGTTTGGTGATTATTTCCTTTTTGGAGAAGGATGTTGCAAGCAGTCTGTTTTCTGTCATCATTGAACTCAAATGAATTCTTGAGTCAAAAACGTTCTCTGGGAGCCAGGCCCTTTGTTCTGGCTGAGAATGCTGAAGGAAAAGATTGTCTACATGCTCCTGTGACCAGTCCTATCCAATCTTACAAGCACATGTACATATTGTGTATGTGTATCATAAAAAAATACTCAAGCACATCGCCCTCCAAACAGGAAGTTGACATGCAAAGCTTTTCAACGTGTCCACAACGTTTTCATATGAGTACGCGCATGATGGAAAATCTAACCCTGAATAACACAAAAAAAAGTTATTCTATTGTCAGTGAGAAAACTTTTTTAGACTCATTCATGGTGAAATGTCAAAAAAAGCCATTAATGCAAACCCCTAGTAGTGTTCCAGTCAGTAAATTTCAGCCAGAACAGCAATAAAAACACAGAGAAGAAGAAAACACCTTCTGTGTGTTTCACAACTCACCCACGTTTGGTGGTTTCCCGTAATTTACAGGTAGTTCTGGAGGCCGGCCTCTGTGAAGAGCTGCAAACGCAGATCCTTTCCATAGCGTATGTCTGAAATCTGTACCGGCAAGATTAACAGCGGGTTAGTGAAACCATCAGCCAAACCGGGTCCAACTGACCTATTCTTATTAGAACCAAGAGCATCAAGCACCACTCTGAGCATCCCAAAATCAAAGCTGTCTTTTAACTAGTTTGTCAGAGTTCTAACACTTAAAGAAGACTGCTGCTCTGATTTCTAGTTCCTAAGCAATATGTCTGTAAATGATTTCAGCTTATTTTTCCTTCATTTTGGCGAGAAGGCAGTCTAAAGTGATGGAAGGAGAAAGAGAATGAAACCAGTGGGTGCACTTTGTATTGAGGCAGGGCTGATCTTTGGTACGTTTTCAGTCCTTTTGCAATCCCAACACGTACAGGACCTCTTCCTATGAACTGTACATTTGAGAAGAAACATACACGCACACATTTGCTCCCTGAAAGGGGAGAAGTGAGGGGTTTTTTCAATAAATCTGTTTTCCTGTAGTTGGTGGCAATATGCCCTCCCTTTCAGATTCTCCTCCCTTCATTTTTAAAATTAAGACTTTTCTTTAAAGGCTCTCCAGCTTTCTGCTGCCAACTGGCCTCATAGAGCCTCCTCTCTAGAACAATAGTGATTTTTCTGAGACTGTTCAGAGCGCCTCAGAAATTAGACCTGGACTTCTTCCATTCCTGGCCATCTGGAAGGAGAGAAATGAGCTTCCACGGTAAGAACTGAAACAGAAGGACAGTGCCACAGATTGGTGGATCTGTGTATCACCAGTTAGATCTCCGAATACGAAGTGCACAGGTTTATGTGACTCAAAGAGACTCCTGAGAGGACGTTCTGATTAAAACCCAAACTGTACCACAAAGTTTTACAATGACACACATTAAAAACAGCCCTCATACTTTCTAAAAGGGATCACAGTAGGTATAAATACTAACGGTAAATGGAAACTTCATACTGATACACAATGGGGGGGGGGGGGGGGCGGAAATCCAGGTATGTCAGCTCTGAAAAACGCATGTGTGGTTTACACACCCAATGGCACAATGTCACAGCACATTCTTCTGAAGGGGAAAAAAAAAAACAAAACACCCCACCATAAATCTAGCAGAAATCTGTTTGCAATGAATTTATCACATGGCTTAGGAAGTGGCACTTCTTTCAGTGATTCATCCAGCCTCTGTCCCCTAATTCACCTAAGAAAATTCTGTTTCCCTGCACAAAAATGTTCATTTTCTCTTTACGTTTTTGTTGCTGTTTTCTTCTAAGACGCAAACTGAATGTGAAACAAATGTTTCTCTGCAGGCCTCCCTGCCAACCTGAAATTCTCCACCCAATTATAACGAAGCATAGGCAAAAGAAGACTCAGTCCCAAAACTTTGCATAGGGAAACGTGCTTGCCAACAGCACATCCTTCAGGTGATATCCAGTGGATCAGCAGGATGAGGTAAATTAAGGGCTCAACTGCCACTGGAACAGGAAGGTCCTGCTCTCCCATCCCTCCTCCTCTCCTAGAAGGATGTTCCTGCTGCCTGTATCACCTCCAGCACTCTGATCCTTCCAAGAGTTAATTTAATTCCCTATAACAGCAATAACAAATTTTGCAATATTTTAGCTCTCTGAATCAGTACATCCCAGGATCAAAGAAGCTCTGGCTCCTACAGGGGAGAAGTGGCAAGGGCAGGAACGGAGGGGAGGGAGGAACCACTCTTTTCAATAGCAGATGGCTCTCAGATCTGCCTAGCTGAAACATAAAACTCTGCTCCCAGGATCATTACCTCAAGCCCAGCAGTTTTTCCAAAGGAATAGGACTGGTGCTCTATTCATGAAAGAAATGTGGGGTTTTGTTCAAACTAACTTTAAGCGAGGACAAGCAGGAATTATCACTGAAGAATCAGTCTCACCTCCTCCCACCCTCTAAATGCTGCTCCAAATGCCACCCAGCCCTTCAAGCTGACCCATCTGCCTGCACGGCCAGAGAATCGAATAATGGAACAAATCAGCCTGAAAAAGAGCCCAGCAAAGTATATAGACTGCTGGGTTATTTAGACACAGGCATGTGTCTATGCATAGGAAAGAAAGGGCTATTTTTCAGATGGATCAAATCTCTAACCCAGTACATCCCATCATTTACACAAACACCAGTCCAACACACTAGGGAGGGGAGGTGGAGGAAGCAAGTAACAAGATGGGGCAACTGTAGGCAAGAGCTGCTTCAGATGGCATTTTCGACCAGAAAAACATACATGTAACAGCACCAGTAACAACCACATTTTAGCAAGGCTGCAACAAGAAAGCTGACAAGCACAGGAGACAAACCAGCGTTCATGCACACACACGCAGGTACCAAAATATGAATCGAAACTTTTGAGGTTTTGATCATTAAAATAAAATTCAATCACACATAAATTGAGAATCTTACCTTTTGCTGCCCGTAATAGAGACTGGCGCCCGACACCTAGCAAAGTCTGCACACCTAGGACACTCTGCGGGATCTCCTTGTCTAGAAGGGGTCCAAGTCTCTCACAGATCCTAAGAAGATAATCCGGAGGGATGTGTGCATTGACAGCCACCTAAACATACAAATAACAGTGGTGTGAAAATTGTTTTATTCTTGTTTCTACTGGTAGTTCCTTGAAATCAAGTCTAAATCCCCCTGAAAACCCCTCAAAATTAATTATACCAAAGATGTCCTTTCAAGGGACATGGAGTGTTGGAGAAGTCGGGCCAGAAATTCCAGGTGGTAGTAGCTACAGTTGTAATTTAGGATATCCCTTAATGACAAAAAAAAATCCCTGAAACTGGAGTTCCCAGTGCCATACTCTATCAAACAAAGTATTGACTGGGGACTTCTTTTAAGCCTTTTTTACCCTTCAGTTCATTCTTTTCACACACAGTATTTCTTGCTTAGCTGGAACACCCTTGACAGACACTCATATTACTGTAAGAAGCACATGTGCTAAAGCCTGAAAACCCTAAACTTTATCCTGAAAGCAACACCTAGACTCTGTTTTTTAGCTACTGGGAATAAGCATCTTTAAGACCCACATGTGTAGGCTTCACTCCTAATTTGTCATCTCGAGAAAACATTCTTCTTTTTCCTCTTTAGACAGAGACTGCTTTCTATGGAGAGACAATAGTTTTTCCAACAGTCTCTTCAAATAGCAAATAAATTGTGCCTCCTTATCCAGAATGTCCTGCACTTGCCTGACTTCTACTATATTTCCTAGCTGGCAGCACAAACCCAACATCAGAGATTATTCAGCTCCTTCAACACAGGACATACAGCCACATCCTTCTCCTTTTTAAAGACCAACAGTAACAGGTCACTCAGCTCTTACACACCTGCGATTGAAGATGGAAAAAACAGTCGTATTACAACTATTTACACCTTTTGTATCTGTTGCAATATTGTGAAGAAAGACATTGTCATAAACCCATTTTTTTGTTTTACCAAGCCACAAACTAATACCAAAAAATACTAAAAGGGCAGAACAGTGTTTGTTGTAAAGAAATAACAGCAGGCGTGTGCCTACGCACACCCCTCTCTCCTCCACGACCACTTCAAACGCGCCCAGTCACAGGCCAATACAGGGCTGTGAGTGCTCACCACCCATGCAGTTTCCTCCTGGCAGGGCAGGAAAAGCTTTTGTGTAGCTGCTGTGAGCCAGAATGATTCCCCAGGCAGGCTAAAACCACCATCACTTGCCCTCTGCATCCCCTCCAGAGCTCACCTACTGCAGAGGGAGGTGTTCAGCTCCCCTGCCTGGGAACGCTCATCCAAGAAAAAAAAAAGGTTTCCTGCCAGGGTCAGCAAAGCTGACTGTCATTCAGAGAAGTGTCAGAGCTGGTGGAAAGCAAGGAACAGACCCGCTTCTTTCAACAGCAGAGCATCATCGGATAGGCTCAGCCACCCTGCGACCCAGAGCCCAGGGATAAGCCCAGCTCCTGCCCCAGCACACCGGAGGGAGCGGCACGCAGCGGGAAGGAGGAAAAGGTAAGTACTGCGCCCTGAACAGCTGCCAAAACATTGTTCGCTGAACTATGTCATCAAACAGATGATTACTACATGGCATTGGGAAATTGTTCGTTCCAGTTGGGCAACAGCAGCGGCGCTACGGGGCTCAGCGCAGTGAGTCATGCGTTCTGCAATGCAATCACCTGCATCACGAGCAGGATCCACGCCGTCCCACTAATGAGATTTTAACCAAAAAACAACCCAAAGGCTTTTCTAAGGACACATACCAATTATCATTTAACTCAGCGCAACCAAAACTCCTCCAGTCCGAGCGGAAACTCTTACAGCAGAGACAGGCTCCTCCACACATCCTGTCAGTCACTGCATGTCAAAGGCATGGCTCTGGCCCTTTGACGGGAGGACAAGGATCATACCTCTGCAGGAAAGATGAGCCTGACAGCTGCACTCACATGGTCCCATTCCATGACTTGTCATACTGTGAGCATCAAGGAATGACCTGCCCTGTCCCGTGGATGCTCTCTTGCACTGACTGGTTTCTCCAGCCTTACTAACTTTTTTTTTCCCCTCCTCAAAATCAGAGTTCCAAAATTATATTGGTACCTTCCCAACCGCTCAGCCAGTGAGCTCAGTGGATGAGCATGAACTGTCTTTCACTGTAAATTACATTATATAACAGAAATCAAAACGAGGTAAAAGGATTATCTGAATTTTTGTATTTGCCTATCATTCTTATTTGTTCCTCAAATATTATAAATGTGTTAATGCTACAGAACATTTTACTAGCCTGTGCTCCATTCAGTATGTAAGGGATCTGAAACAATCTGAAATAAAGGCAATACTACAGAGAGAATCTGCAATTTAATAAAATCTGAGAATGAAATTCTTTTTTACATCTCTGATAATTAGTAACGTGCTCCTCAGTCAACAATTGCCAGTTCTAGCAATTTATCAAGCTCAAGATTAAAATATTAAAAAGAAAAAGTGTAACCAATCCAGAAGCTGTGGAATTTTACATTTTACTTCTAAGGTAGGAAAAAAAACCAACCCATACCACTCTCTCTGGAAATACAAAAATTTCACAGCAAGTCCAAACCATTTAACCAGCATAATGCAGCAACACCCTTCCCTTTTCACTCAGGAGCACGCTGGTTTTGAAGTATCGCCACTATTCCATGTCTAGAGGTGTTGAATTAAGCCTGGCAGCAAATATCCTACTGCGGAGACAGAGCACAGGTCACTCACCAAGCAGTTCTGCCTGCTCAGCGCACCCACTCAGGAATGGAAGGGGACTTTGCTGTTTCAAGATCCACAGATTAAGCCACAGTTTTATCAAGAACAGCAAAGAGAGGGAACAGCAACACACATGCGGACCGGCCGACACTCCAAGATGAAAGACGGATGCGGCAGACTCGTGGAGCATGTGGCGGTTATCTGCACAGGTCTGGCGGTGATTTGCCCGGGACACGCTGACGTTAAGCAGCTCAGGATAGCAGACATCTGCTCCATCGCTGCCCAGATCAGGAGAGGTGGCAAATCCATCACAGAGCCACAGTTAAATCAGCACAAGTGAGCTGCTGAAGCATTTAGGGTTTAGTGTACAGTTTTATGAGATGGTAAACTTTTCTAAGCAGTGTTTAATGTGGAGCAGATTGCACAGATGAGGCAGATATCAAAGTGACCACTCACTTCCCTAACACGCCTCACTCACCAGATTTGCCACTCGCAATCAGAACGACACCGTGCTACAGAAGAAAGGCGGTACGACACTCCTTTCCCTGCACATTTTCATGTTTCTACAAGCCAGAACAGCCCAAATAAGTCTCCCTTAATCCAAATATTATCACTGTTGTTATTACCAAACAGCTACATAGGCAGGCAGCAGGAGCAGCAAATGTTCCTGGAGATTTCTGTCCATAATAACTTCCAGATAAAATGCTTAAACCGCAACCCAGAGCAAAACAAGCAATTCTATTTTCAGGTTCCCAAAAGAACTTGAAACAAAAATCCTTCCTTTCACCTCTGCGTGAGATAGCTGTAAATGGATTTTAAGTACCTTTCCAAAACATGAAGCTGCAAACACACAGCTGAGAAAAACAAAGTCTCCCCCAACTCCACTTTTCATTAAAAGGAGGATGGAAAAAGGCAAAGCTTAGTGTCAGCTACAGCCACACCTCTTGGTATATGCTAGTCTAAACCCCATATGGCAAAACTAAACAACAGCAAGGATATTATCACCTCCTCAAATACATTAGAAAATATTTTTAGAATATTAGAAAATATTTTAGAAAATAATTAGAAAAATAGGAAAAAGCAGAGGTAACTCAGGCCAAAAACACGCTTAACGGGAGCTTTTAAAGAGCACATTAAAATAATGCGAATGAGCTGAAAACATGCTAAATGAGAACAAGTTCCACACCCTGGGATGAACTATAAAGAAAGAAATGTTTTGTTGCCTTAAGATGTGAAAAACCCTGTAAAGGTCAAAATGCACAAGAATTCCACAGCACCACAGAAGAGTTCTCCGACATGGTAACCACACGGGTGTTTTGGATCTAAAAACTGGTAAGAATTGGGTAAAGCGAATCCATCCTTTTAAAAAAATCTCCCAAAAAAGCCATGGGCGAACGTAACACAGCCACAACTGCTTGCACCAGCAGGCAAATCAGCTGCTGCAGTGATAAGCAGCTGCAAGGAAAGAACTATTAGTGAAGTCACGGCAGGGGTAGGAGGGAGTCGTGCCCCTAAACCTGTCTACGCTTCTGATGTCGGAAGCATTACCACGTAATCTCAAAGACTACTGAGCAAAGGGTCCTCACCGGCCAGCTCAGAAGACAGCCAAGAAGCTTGTTGATGCCTGAAACAAACAAAAATCCTTTGGTATGATTGCTGACAATTTCTCCTCCAAGGAAGGTTTCAATAAACAGGAAACAAACAAACAAACAAAAAAAGGCTCTTTGTGATTACTACTCATAATAAGATGCCTGTCTTCCCCGGGATCGGAACCAGATAGCTCTGAAATGTCTCTTTTGGGAAACTCTGCTTCAAAGCACAGCCTAAATTTGACGCTAGAGCTGCTAATGGCAGTAAAGCAGGCAGCAAGGCAGACCTCTGAAGGCTCCTTCGCACCCAGTCCCCGTGGGCAGGCGGGCAGGCAGTTGTGCATCAGCAGCAGATTTCTAACCTCTAGACAGTCGTACGGCACTTGCCTCATTTGCCAAAATAACAATCAATTGCGAATCAATTGACAACTGCATCAAAAAGCAGCAGAGGAGACCAAGAGGACCAAGGCAGCTGAGCAAGCAGGAAATTACTCAAGATCTCAAATATGGAATCTCAGCAAAAGGAAGCTCAGATACTGGACTTACACAAGATGTCAACAGTATGCAGATACACAGGAATTTTAAAAGCCATTATCCACTCGGTTTCCCCAGAGAGAACGGGTTGGAACGACCACACTACCAGATGACATTTTCCCGAGGTGACAAAACCGTAACTTCTCTTCTCTGCTAATGCTAGGATTGGCAATATCTATAAATAACAGCACCTCAGACCCATGGCTAGGTTTAAATCAATGCAGATGGGCAAGGCAGAAAC